CTTGTATTATTTTAATTTGTGTCTAGAGTTGTGTTGTGATATCTTCCCGTGAGTCCTTGATCTTGATCGTACACATTTGCGTGTATGATTAGTGTACGATTGGATCGAGGGCGTCACAACATTTGACCCTTTTTCTACTAGTGCTTGGTGTGTGGTGGAACCTATCATCAAGAAGTATCTTGATACTCATTTAAAAGAATTATGAGGACTATGTTTATCTTGGTACTCATACTAAAATGGCCGTATGCATCCCTGGTTGGTCTCATTAATTCGATCCTCATGAGTATGCCCATGTTTCTTCTCTCTTTCTTCGAGGTTCCGGTGGGAGTCCGGAAGAGGCTAGACTTCTATCGATCACGCTTCTTCTGGCAGAGTGATGAACTTAAGCGAAAATACAGACTTGCTAAATGGGATATCATCTCTAGGCCGAAAGACCAAGGGGGTCTAGGTATTGAGAATCTAGAAGTGAAGAACAAATGTCTCCTTAGCAAATGGTTGTTTAAGCTTTCTGTCGAGACGGAGGCCACTTGGGCTCAGATCTTGCTGAACAAGTACCTTCACTCCAGAACCTTGTCCCAGGTGACAGTGAGGCCGACTGATTCGCCTTTTTGGAAAGGACTGATGAGAGTTAAACCACTCTTTTTCAATAGGACAAGATTCATAGTTGGAAACGGTAACGCTACAAGGTTTTGGGAGGATACATGGCTAGGGGAGACGCCCCTCGCGCTCCAATATCCTTCTTTGTATAACATTGTTCAGCGTAGAGACGCTTACGTTGCAACAGTTATGCAGTCAACTCCGCTCAATATTCAATTTAGGAGGACGCTAGTGGGAACCCGTTGAAAAGCTTGGCTCAATCTTGTTAGAAGATTGATGGATGTTCATCTGTCTCAATAGCCCGATCATTTGTGCTGGAAACTAACTAAGAATGGTGTATTCTCGGTTAAATCCATGTATCTGGATGTTATCAACTCTAGTGTGATTCCTAGATCGAAACACGTTTGGAAAGTTAAAGTTCCTTTGAAAATCAAAGTATTTATGTGGTTTGTGCATAAACAAATTATTTTAACTAAGGATAATTTGACAAAACGCAATTGGACAGGATCTACCAGATGTAGTTTCTGCGACCAATACGAATCAATCAAACATCTCTTTCTGGATTGTCCTCTGGCAAAATTTTTGTGGTGATCGGTTCACATAGCTTTTAACATTACTCCACCGAATTCTATCAACACGTTATTTGGGACGTGGCTTGATGGGATAGATTAGGATACAGTGAGACACATTCGTGTAGGAGTATGTGCTTTATTATGGGATCTGGTTTTTAACAGAACAACAAATATTCACTTTTTGCAGGTTATCTTCAGAGCCACTGCGTTGATCCGTATGTGGTCTCTACTCACTCCGACAGAGGCCAGGGAGTGTTTGGTTACTGGGTCTATCCGATGGGAGATGGTAGCACAGGATATTTTCAACCGGTTTGGATGGCGGTCATGTAATAGGATAGGCATGTAGTGCTCTTATCTTTTTATGCCAGCCGGTTGTGGCTTTTCCATTTTACTGTTTAGCTCTTGCACTAGTAGAAAAAGGACCTAATGTGAGACACATTAGTCCCGGTTCGGTTTTGGCCCGGTACTAATGGTACCATTAGTGCCGGTTCAAACGACTATGCATTAATGCCGGTTCATTTTGAACCTTTAGTACCGGTT